AGGGTTTTCAGTTTTACATGGCATATAATAGAAAAAATTCAGATGCTTTTTTGGTTTTTATGTTTTCCAGAAATTCTACAGTCAAACCCTGATGTTCCAGATTGCCCGTAGTAGTCAGAAGCTTATGCTCTTGGCACAGGGGCAAGGTTTAGAGCCACGCTTGGAATTTAGTCCTTCAATTCTGGAGCTGGGGCCACTGCTGCCTTTTGCACCTGGAGACGAGGCCGAGGTGGTGGTGAAGAATCCCTGTGACTTTCCCATTGAGTTTTACTCCTTAGAATTTGACCAGCAGTATCTCGTAGAAGAGAAGGTGAGCAGACGCCAAAACCAAACTCCATTTTCCTCCCCGTGCTGGGTCCTGACATGTACTCATGCTCTTCACTCCGCCGGGACAACTGCCCCTGATCTTTATGCCTCCTTCCCTTTGAACCCTTCTTTGACAATTTAAAGATCACTTTGTAGACTTCTCTTGCCCTGAGCAAAACTCATTGCCTCTCTGTGATTGCATTATACATTTTAAACAACTAATTGAAAAATTAATACATGCTGATGGTTAAAATTCAAACAGTGAAGAACATATGCAGTAGTCATTATATTTGAAGTGAGTTTCTTGTAGATAGCATATAATTAGGTCTTTTTAAAATATACTCTGGCAGTCTCTGTCTTTAGTTGGCATATTTTGACCATTTACATTTGATGTAATTATGTTAGGGTTTAACTCTGCCATTATCTTTTTTTTCTCTGTTTGTTCTGGGTTGTATATTTTCCAGTTGCTCCTTCATGTTCATTTTTTTAAACTTTATTTTTTGGAGCAGTTTAGAGATTGGGCTATACCCCTTACCCCCACACATCATAGCCAGCCTCATTATCAATATCCCTTTCTAGAATGGTACATTTGCTACAATTGATGAACCTACATTGACACATCATAATCACTCAAAGTCTATAGTACATTAGAGTTCACTGTTCATGTTATATGTGCTATGGGTTTGGACAAATGTATAATTACATGTGTCCATCATTATAGTATCATACAGAGTAATTTCACTGCCCTAAAAATCTTCTGTGCTCAGCCTATTAATCTCCTCCTCCTCCCAACCCTGGTAACCACTGGTCTTTTTACTATCTCCATAACTTGGTCTTTTCCAAGATGTCATATAATTGTAATCATACAGTATGTAGCCTTTTCAGATTGGCTTTTTTCACTTATTAATATGCATTTAAGTTTCTTTCATATCATTTTGTGACTTGATAGCTAATTTCTTTTGAGCACAGAATAATACTCCATTGTGCGGATGTACCACTATTTATTTATCCATTCACCTACTGAAGGACATCTTGGTTGCTTCCAAGTTTTGACAGTTATGAATAAAGCTGCTGTAAACACCCATGTGCAGAGCTTTGTGTAGACATAAGTTTTTGACTCCTTTCAGTAAGTACCAAGGAGCATGATTGCTGGATTGTATGGTAAGAGTATGTTTAGTTTTGTAAGAAACGGCCAACCTGTCTTCCAAAGCAGTCGTACCATTTTGCATTCTCGTGAGCAATAATTGAGAGTTCCTGTTGCTGCTCATCCTCGCCAGCACTTGATGTTGTCAGTGTTTTGGATTTTGGCCATTCTAATAGGTGTGTAGTAGTAGTAGTGTCTCATTGTGGTTTTCATTTGCATTTTCCTGATAACATATGCTGTGGAGTGTCTATTTATGTGCTTATTCACCATCCGGGTATCTTTTTTGGTGAGGTGTCTGTCAAGGTCTTTGGCCTACTTTTTAATCAGGTTGTTTGCTTTCTTTTTGTTGAGTTTTTAAGAGTTTTTAACATATTTTGAGTAATAGTCCTTTGTCAGATGTGTCTTTTGCAAACATTTTTCTCACAGTTCGTGGTTTGTCTTCTCATTCTCTTGACAATGTCTTTTGCAGAGCAGAAGTTTTTAATTTTAATGAAGTTTTGCTGTTCAAGAAGTCTGATGCTTAGCTATCTGTTACTTATTAGTTATCTATTGCTGCAAAACAAAATACCCCCAAGCTTAACAACATAAACGTTTGTCATCTCATGTTTTCTGTGGATTAGGAATTTGCAAATGACTTAGCTAAGGTGGCTCTGCTTCCTCAGGACCCTCCCCAACTCAGTCTCTGAATCTTCTGGTTTCTTTACATCCAAGGTTTACGCTCTACCCAATTTAGATTCTGCCTCCAGAAGTTTTTCTCAGAATGGGCATCTGTGCCTCTGGAAGGGAGTCTTTTCATTGGGTATTTATGAAATGCTCAATCGCTTATGTTGGCACAGCATCCTCTGTTGTGGGTCAAGTTCAATGGAAAGCAGAATTTAAGACTCTGAGATTTGCGTGATTTATTAGGGAGCATTCTCAGGAAAAACACCTGTAAAGAATAGGAAAGTAGAATTGGGAGAGAAAAAGATGAACTGTGATGAGATTTCAACAGGGGCTTCAGCTGATGCTGCAGGAAGCTCTGGAGCCGGGTTGGCTCTTTAGAGTGACTCAATTAAAGCCAGTTGGCCAAACCTTCGTGTCTCTGTAGCAACCAGTCTTTGGGATATTCCTTCCTTTCCATACTGACCTCTGTCTTGTATCAAATCTTCACATGTGAATGGTTCTATCCTGAGCTCTCTTCTACTTCACTGGTCAATTTGTCTCTCGCAATATCAATACCACCCTATTATTCCAGTCTCATAAGTCCTGATATCTGGTAGGGGGCAACCCTCTCTCTCTAGTCTTCTTTGTGTTCTATTTTAGCCCTTTGTTCTTCCATATATATTTTAGAATCATCTTATTAGCAGTGGTTTTTAAACAATGGAAAATGGTGATCCTGGAGAAGGGTCACCACTGGAGCCAGGTGACCCTCCCAGCACCTGCCAGTTACAATAAATCGGGTCCTATAGGAAGTGATTGCTTTCTAGGGCTTTCTTTTACTGTACTTTATAAACATACATACATACTAGAGTTGCCACATTTAGCAGAAAGAGAAACAGTTTTGCTAAATTAAATTTGAATTTCAGATAAGCAGCATTGGACATACTTATACGAGAAAAATTATTCATTGTTTATCTGAAATTCAGATTTAACTGGGCATCCCACGTTTCCTCTGACAACACTAATACATATCCCCCTCCCCCCCATGCACGTGCACACATACACATACTTAATACCATTTCGCTTATTTTCCCCTGGGTGCTCCATTTATGAGACAGCAACCTTACCCAGTATAATATTGCTAACACAGTATTTTATAAGAATGTGTCATTCAAGGTGGGTAATGGAGTTCTGTACTTTTGTCAATGGAAAAAAAAATCCCAGTATATCTTATTTTTAAAACAAGAAGAAAATTCTCTTCCACAAGTTGAATGCCTAGGTTAAAATGGAGCAAAAATAGAGATCCCAGCCCCCCGGGTTCAGGGCTAAGCCTTACTTTTAGACTCCTCCAAAGGACCCTGCCCTGAGCACACACCAGGCCTCGGGCAGGCACAGGGGTTTTACAGGATGGGTGAGCAGACCCACTGAGCGCCATGGGGAGACGCCTCCAGCGAGACCAACAGCAGTTCCCACTGTCCTCGAGCAGATCTTGCGAACGCTGAAGGGCTATGATTCCTACAACACCCTGCTGCTGCCACCCCGTGTCCCTGGGGAGAAGCTGCCCCCAGAGGTGTATGAGTACTTCAAGGAGATGAAGCAGTCCAAAGAGGAGCAGATGAAGGCGAAATATCTGGAGGCTCTGGGGCAGGACAACGGTGAGAACTCATCTCAGGGGCCCGGCTCCTGTCCCTGCCCTGGCTTCTTTGAATGGTCTCTGGTGCCAGGCAGGTTCGAGGTGCCTTATGCATTTTATTTCTAACCCTTACAAAATGCTCCTGTTATCCCCAGCCTGTAGGGGTGGGCAGACAGGGACGCATTCCGCTCTCACTAGACCCTAGTGGGGAGTTAAGACAAAAACAGCTACTACAGAGCTAGAGCACTCGCCAGATACCAAGCCCTGTGCTGAGGGCACCACGTGTACAGGTGAGGAACTGAAGCATTGACAGGCCACGTCCACAGTTTAAGTGGCAGAATCGGGATTCAAGCTCAGGTCTCCCTGGCTCTAGAGTCCAGGACGGTAACCACTCTACTCCGCGGTTCCCGTGTGTGTGCCTGGGCAATGCAAGGCAAGACGTCACCTATGGTAGAAATGGGTGCCCTCAGAGAGGTGGGTGTTCACACAAGGAAGAGGTCAGCCCTTCATCGTCCTCAAGGCCAACCCCCAATCTCCAAGCTAGACTGCGCACTCCTAAGCTGGCCCTTCCTGGCTCGGCGCCCCTGGGTGACTGCGTCGTCGCCCTCGTGTGCCCTTGAACATCAGTGTTCCCTGACGCCCTGTAGGATTCTGTGGCTTGTCATGCTGCTCGCTTCTCCTTCCTGCTTCTCCGTGCCCTCTTCTTGGCCCTCCCTGTCCTTCCTGGCTCTCTTCTTCTGTGTAACAGTCATTACGTGTGTAATTATTTCCTTCATACCCGTCACCACCCCCAGACAAGGAACCCCCAAAAGGCAGTGGTCACATATTCCCCACTTGTAAACCCAGTGCCTGGAACAGCACCTAATACTCCTAGTGCCCAATAAATATGTACTGTAAGAGTGAGTGAATGAATGAATGAATGAATGAATGAATCGAGCCCATTTCTCCTGCTCTTGGGCCTGGCTTGTTTTCCCTCCAGGAAGCTAATCAGAGAAGACTAGTTTTTTTGCCCTAAATGGAGAAGATGAGAGAAGAAGGCTGCCTGTCCACCCCATCTCCTGCTCATATTCATTGAGCACTATTAGTTTATTAGAACTGCTATCACAAATGCCACACACTGGGTGCCTTAACCAACAGAACTTTATTTTCTCACAATTCTGGAGACTAGAAGTTTAAGGTCAAGATGTCGGCAGGGTTGTTTTCTTCTGTACCTTCCTCCTCGACTTGTAGACGGCTGTCTTTACCCTGCGTTCACACGGTCTTCCTGCTGTGTGTGTCTGTGTCCTAATCACTTCTTCTACAAACACCAGTCATATTGGATTATGGATGGATTAGGACACCCAAATGACCTCATTTTAACTTCATTACCTTTAGAAAGGCCCTATCTTCAACTACAGCCACATTCTAAGGTACTGGGGAGTTAAGACTTCAGCATATGAATTTTAGGGGAACCAGTTAAGCCCATAACAAACACATGCTGTGTTCCAAGCACTGAGCTGAAGTGCTGGGG